CCCCCCCCCCCCCCCCCCCCCCCACCTTGCGTTAACTTTTTTTCGCGATAACAGTTTGCAGCAATTACCCACTTGCTGGCGGCCCTCCAGCAGCACATCTACGGAGCACGCTTCTCGCCTCGGCTATTTTTTGCCCTTTTTCTCTCGCCTTCCCACCCCTTCCCGCTGTATTTTTTCTGGCTGCCGTGCGCTAACCTCAAGCGAAGAGGCTGGTACAGGCAATGCTACATCTGATGCTCATGGGCCTACCTGGTGGGTAATACCGCTGCGGCTTCTTCCTTTTTACCCTCCCTCGTTTTCCTTTTATTTTGTCGATCCTTGGCATGCTGAAATCAAAGTTGTGATTGGGGCTTGGAAATAAAACGCAGGGACTGCGCGGGGCAGGTTACCGAGCTCAGCGTGGTGCAAAGGGGCGATAATTCTGGGTTCATCTCAGGGTAACTTGGATCCAAAATTCACCCACTGGCTTTAAGATAATGAATGCCCATCTCTGCCTGATACTGTAACAGGCGGCATGTGGGAGGACTCGCAAGGTTTCCATATAAGAACATGGGAGAATTTATTTCACACAGGCGAAGAAATGTGCAGAGTATGTGTTATTTATGAAACGGAAGGCAAGCTGTGTTTTCCTTAAGCAGCTCCGAGAGTGGCAAAACTTTGTATCTAGAAATTGTAAAAGCTGATTTCTGCTGTTAATAAGAGCTATGTTTAAACGAAAGCACCGATGAAAAAAAAGTAGTGGGAGAGGATCCAGATAAACACGGAGAAATACAACCCCACACGTATTCCAGCACAGTTTGTGCCAAGGTGTGAAGATGGAGGTTTTTGGTTAGTTCCCATTTTTTTAACCGTATTGGGAAAGGCATTAAGAAAATGTGCTGAGAGGAGCCGGTTGCGTTGATAGTGCTATTTTGGTAACTGCATTTTTTTTTTCCTTATTGCTTGCATGTCACAATGTTTCAAGTCTTGGACTAGCAAAAAAGTGAGGCAGCCCTGACCGGGGGACATATCGTCAGCTGTGTCGTTTGTGGCTCGGATGACAGTTGCTACCAGTTTAGGTTTTATGACTTTGGGTTTGAGGGTAAATCAGCCCACTAAAACCTGCTGCTCTGGAATTTGGAGGGGAGAGGCATTGGTGAAAGCCCTGATAGTTTTGACAGCCGGGTGTTTACCTCTGGGTCTGCGTTTGGGCGAGCTGACTGATTTTTGGCATTGCCTACCTTTGCACGAGTATTACGGAAAGATTCCCCTAAAGGTTGTTGGGGGTTTTTTAAAGCAAAAATGCGTGAGCAGTTGAGGCAGCCAGCAGCGGGACGGTATCCCTTGTCCGGAGTAAGTCGAGGCTGAAGCACGAGTGTGGCGGGAAGATGTCTTTGTTGCCCTCGTTAAACTGACACTGGAAACTTTATTTTTGGCACTTTCGGAGATAGCATCTTCGCATTTCCTCTCCAACTGTCTCGTCGCTGCTTTGCTTTTTTTTTTCTTTTCTTTTTTCTTTTTTTTTCCCCCTTCTTTTTTTTCCTTTTTTTTTTTTTTTCCTCTCTATTTGCCGGCTTCTCACCTTCCCTGTCCCCCTTGCCACCTCTCTCCCGGTTTGGGCTGCTTTGAGGCTGCACCCACTGGAGGGCGACAGACACCTTTCCCTCTCCGTGGGGTCCCGGGGCTGCCCCGCGGGTGGGGCGGGACCCTGAGCCCCAGCCTGGGGGCCAGGGCCGAGAGAGGAAAGGCCGCTTCTTGCTGTAATTTATTAACCTGCTTCTTTTACCGTGCCATGTTAGGGTTATTTTCTGTCATACTTTGCAAAAAGCAGGAGATTGCAGATGGCACTGTGATATTTGGAGGTACCGAGAAGATGGTTGCATGCTTGGGGGTGCGAGATCAAAATCCTGGGGGGTTTGTTTGTTTGTTTAGGGAGCTTGGCCTAGAATCCAGTAGAAATTTGGAATGCTTCAAATGCTACCAATTTTTATTTTATTTTACTTTGCTGTAGCCAGGCGCAAAATTTGGCGTGCTACTCTTTGTTGGTAGTGACTAATTTGTAGCTTTTGGGTGGATTGCCTGGAGGTTTCTTAAACGTCAGAGGTGAAATGTTGGGGCCGTGGCAGGAGGCTTCAGTCTGTGTGAAATGCTGTATGAAAAGAGGTGCAACGTTGCCCTGGAAAAATAGGAAGACACTTCAGATTGGCTTACTCTTGCTGCACAGTGCTTGGGAAAGCTCCTGTGCCTGAGCACAGTTCTGTTTGCAAAGCCTCAGGGAGGGTCTTGTCTTACAGCTAATTGTTGCAAGTATTTCAATGAGTTTTCCTTAAATCGATACTCTGCCTAACTAAGACTACATCTTAGTGGCTTCTAGCCAAGTCCTGTGGGCTGGGTGTTTCCAAAGAGAGTCGGAGGTGCAAGCCTTTCAGCAGGCTGCCATGTTTCCCAGGCAGTGATGCTCCCAGCATTTTCATCAATGCACCTCAAGACTCTGCAGCAAACCCAAATTATTTTAATTTCACCCCATCTAGGTTTTCGAATGCCGCATAGTTTTGACCCAATGGCAACGTTGCCAGTTCCACCAGTAAGGGAAGTGTCTGCAGTGGTCCCTTAGCACCAACTTTTAATCATGCTGGCAAATGACTCACTCTGAAAAGATTATGCTGATTTGTTTCTTTTAAATTAACCATATTACAACACACAAAAATAGATGGGAAAGCCACAGTAGTTAAAGTCTTTTGCAAGTAATGCTGATTTGATTGGTCATACTAATAAATTGTAGATCATTTAAGAAGTGCAGCTTTGAACAGATTACCCAGTAGGATTAGTGCCTTCGACTTCTTCTCATCACTAACTTAATTTACGTGACCAGAACGGGTCAGGTTTATATTTTTTAAAGTAATCCTGAGTCCAGTCCTCTAAGTGCTCCATACACAGAACTCAAGTTTATTCTAGTGCCACTCGGGGCGGGGAGGGGGGGCTGCTTGCAGGATTGGGTCCTTGGCATTTGGAAGAAAAGTGTGAGGATGAAAATGCAGTGATTTAATATTTGTTGAATTTCTTCCATACATGTGTATTTACTTGAATCCCCAGCTGCTGTAGTGCCATGGATTTAATTGATTTGTGCTAGCCAAGTATCATCCCAAGGCATGTAAATCTAGGCAATACTCTTTAAATTGCTTACAGGGTAGCTAATATTGATGTAAGGTAATGTGGTAGAAATTAAGTGAAACTGCCAGTCTTCATTGTCCTTTTTTTACCCCAAAGCTGCCATTGGAAGGGCTACCATGCTGCCAATCTGTGACACCGTGGCTGGTGTCCTACAGCATCTTCTGTATTTATGTCAGTCTCTCTCATTTTTCTAAAATTTTTTTCAATGTGTCTAGGTTTACACCAGCAAAAAGCTGCTCGCTCATTGCCGACCCTAAACCCTGCTCCAAGAGCATCCACCAAACCCACCAGCTAGACTGGTGGAAGGGGAGCACGAGTCAAATCCACGTCCTGCCAGCGAGCGTTAGGTGGGAGGCAGCAGGGCGGGTGGCACACGGCTGCAAGAGGGTGGCTGTTGAGACGCACAGGCTGTTGGGAGGTCTTGTGCATTTTAGCAGTTACTGGGTTTCCTGTTGTGGTTCTCTGTTGCCCACAATGGTCACGGCCTTGAAGAACACCTTCGCTGCCATGCCTGCCCGACCTGGGTTTGAATGCAGTCAGTACTTGAGCACGGTGGAAAAATGATTATGCTGGGCCAAAACACAGCGGGAGTGCCCTGCTTTAGGGTGTCGGTGTAGGCAGGCTGCCCGTAGGTAATAGAGCAACCGTACATCGAGCCACGGGCTTATCAGTGAGCTGGAATGTAGTTAAAAGTTCTTCCTTTTTTTGCTTCAGATCACATGGCATTTGCATTTTATTTCACTGCCGCAGTGTAATTTCCTTGCTCTTGAGACAGATATAGCCAAATTTTCTGTGATGTTTTACATAGGATGAAACAAGTGAGAAATGATCTCCTGTTTTGGCATTTGTGCTACGTTCAGTGTCTTGATGTTCTTCAAATATACGTTCATACTGATGAAATTCAGAAAACACTATGCATGATAACATTGAAACGTGTCTGACTTATCTTGCTAGACCCATGTTTTTCCTT